GAAATGGTTCGCGACTGGGAGGTGCAGTTGTTTATTGCGAACCGAGCGTAGGTGTTCTGCAAAGCGGTCCCCGAGTCTCCGCTTGGTTTCCCCGATGTAGAGGAAGCCACACCGGGTACAGCGGATGCAGTATACCACATTGGCAGATGTGCAGGTGAACATCTGCTTGATGTGGAAAGTCTTCTTGGGGCCTGGGATGGGGGTGAGGGAGGAGGTATGGGGGCAGGTGTAGCACTTCCTGCGGTTGCAGGGAAAAGTGCCGGGTGTGGTGGAGCTGGAGGGGAGTGTGGAGCGGACAAGGGAGTCACGGAGAGAGTTGTCCCTCCGGAAAGCAGATAAGGGTGGGGAGGGAAAGATGTCTTTGGTGGTGGGGTCGGATTGCAGATGGCGGAAGTGTCGGAGGATGATGCGTTGGATCCGGAGGTTGGTGGGGTGGTACGTGAGGACGAGGGGGATTCTTTTTTGGTTCTTATTGCGTGGACGGGGTGTGAGGGATGAGGTGCGGGAGATGTGGGAGACACGGTTGAGGGCGTTCTCGACCATCGAGGAGGGGAAGTTACGGTCCTTGAAAAACGAGGACAACTGAGATGTACGGGAGTGGAATGCCTCATCCTGGGAGCAGATGCGGCGGAGGCGAAGGAATTGGGAATAGGGGATAGCATTTTTGCAGGAAGGTGGGTGGGAGGAGGAGTATTCTAGGTAGCTGTGTCAACGTCAGCCTCTCTGCTCCTATGATGCTGCTTGGCCTGCTGTGTTCATCCAGCCCTGCACCTTGTTGTCTCGGATTCTCCAGCATCTGCAGTTCCTACTATCTCTGGTTCAATTAAAGATGCGCATCAGTTAGCCACCAAATAGGTTGAAAAAATTGGGGCTGTGTTCCTTGGTGAAGAAAAGTTGATAGGAGACTTGATAGAGGTATTCAGTATAATGGATAGGGAATAGGGAAAAACTGTTATCGTTCTTGAAAAGATCAAAAATGAAAATAAAACTGATCTGACATGAAGAAAGTTCTGAGCAAATTTACACATCCGTTAGGTTTGTTTTTTGGGAGGTGTAAACCTATGCAGGCTGGGTTTCCCAAACACATAGGAAAATATATCCCAAGATCACTATTTCTAAAAACCAGAGTCACATGTGCTTTATCAAATGCTTTGTTAACCAATCATGTCATTTTCAACAATTTGTACATCAATATTTCCAGGCGTTTCCCCTCCTATACCCCCTTTTAAAAGTGTAATTGCATTTTGTGTGGTATAGTCTCATTCTTGTCATTATTTTTTATAATATCCTGAAAAGTTCAGCAGCTTTCTGATAAATGTTAATGAATTGTTAAAATAATCAATATCTTAGGTTGATGTTAACTAGATTCTTTGAATTGTTTTGTGAATGTGACCTGCAGTTTGTTGTTGACAAAATGTTATCTGAATTACCCAGAACTTTTAAAATTTTATTATTGTATCTGCCAGACAATTATGGACTATCTTACATAGGATTATCAACTTTCATTTTGCATGTTGTATTATTATAAACCACAGATTTCTGGCACGCATTATTTTGATGGGGAATATGTTATGTCGAACTTGGATTTTGAACATAGAGGACAAGCAAAAATGATGTGAGCCTGGCAAGAGCTTTTGTTAATATTTGGCTGCAGCTCCATGACCTTAATTAGTGGCAACCCAGTGCCAGCCAGCTGTCTCATTTATCCTTTACCCCTCCCCCTACACCAGTCACTCTCAACTTCACCTCATCACATCATTGAACAAACACAATGGAATTAGCTTAGTTGTTCCCTGAGGTTTTTTTTTCAGGGACTGACGGCCTCGGTTAGCAGCAGGCATATTTAATTGTGAAAAGTGGAATGAAGAATGCTGTATCTCTATATCTTGTATCCTTAAGAAAACAATTATAGCCTTTGTTTCGTAAATGGAATACTTGTCTGGGAGACCTATCTCCTCCACCAGAGAGCTCTGAGTTATGTACCAAGAATTGATGTAAAAGTATTCTTTCTTTAACATTGCTTTTTGTAAATTGGATTTTTTTCATTAGACTGTTTGAACATCAAGTTACATTTCCAAATGAATAACCAATATACTTCATGTTGTAAGTTTATGAATTCTGCACTCCTTGAATATCCTTTTCAAGATCAAAGCTTTATTTTTGCCATAACTGTACAATCTCTCAGGAGCAACAAAAAGATGTAAACTACTATAGTTGAACTGAGATTGAGGACAGAACTTTCAGGCACCAATAGGTGTGGGAACAGAGATAGATGAGCATGTAATTTTGTGATTCGACTAGTGTGCCACTCTCAAACCGTTTATAGGAAAGTCTGGGCAAAATTTGGGTTCTTATAAGGACCCCAACTTGTGCAACCTGAAATTTTCCAGTCTGTAGGAGGACCCCATATAAATATAGCCAAAACATAGCTTTCAGGGCATTCTGGCAGAAGGGGAAGAATATGCTGCATTTGATCCCAACTGAGGATCTGTCCTGTTGTATCTATGATGGCCTTCAGGCCACAAATATTGGAGGGGTTGCCCTTCCACAATCATGGCCAGGCATGTTGTGGCCTTTTTTAAGTTAAATGTTTGTTTTAACCTCTCGCTGCAGGTATCAGCAGCTTCTGCCTCAGTGCCTTGGGTTGCCCGAGTGTCATCTCTGGAGATTCTCCTGTCAATCCTTCAGCTTTGGGCAACTGTCCACTACCTTTCATTAGACAGCAAATGGGCCTTTTTGTCTACTGGCTAATTCTGCAAAAATAATTGGTAGGCTTACTGCTCCTGGGACCGTGTAGGGTCAGTACCCCTATTTAACCTTGATTTAGGATCTCGACCAAAAAGAACTGCTCTGAATGTCGCTTAGTAAGTAACAAAGCTTTTACGAGATCTGTTTCATATAAATTTTAAACCTCAAGCTTCAATTTCAACATTTGTACAGAATTGCTCACATTTCAAATAAAACAGGGCTGCATTAACAAATTGAAACTATTTTGGCACCAATCCGTGACAGTTGCTCAAACAGACGTTAGCGTATGTTCAGATGTGACAATGATGCTCATTTCTTGTGAATTGTGATGTTTGATAAGCCACAGTCCTTGAATATTTGATAAAAGTAGAAATCAATCAAAAATCGGTGACTTGTCAAATGTTCATGTGTGCAGAACCTTCTTTGTCTTTGGACCAATCGCTAGCAGTTATATATCCGCTATAATAATATAATTGTTAACCAATCAGAATGCTTAGCTTCAACTGTTGAATTTTTTTTTGTGTTGATTTTGATATGGGAAGCAGTGACTGAGTGACTTTCATTTCCCAGTTGATCTTCAGGCAACATTCGTGCAAAAATCATTCACCTCTTTTGTCATTCACAGTTAATATATTTTTTTAATGGCCATTTCAGACCCATTAGCGGAAATCAAAACTTTTTTTGTCTTTCAAACTGCTTAAATTATCATCTTTTACTTTGTTAATATTCATTACAAAACAGAAAAGAATCTTCTGTTCTGATAAAAGTCTCAAATATCCAGAAGATTGGATGCAGTACCTTTAAAGGAGCTTTAATAGAGTTCAAAGTAGAAGATCATGAGTACAGAAACTGGAGGTGTGATAACAGTTAATTTAAGAAATCCTTCTCTTGTATTCAGAATATTGAGGAAAGTGAGAATGGTTTTTGCTGTGAACCTGATGGCAACTAAAATAGCTTTTATTTGGCACTTTAGGAAAGTAGGAGTAGTCCTTGATTTGTGAACCTCCAACATATATGAATGTAGGAACAAGGCTGTTTCATTGACTGTACCACACATTAAATTCCCAGTAGATGCCTGCATTCAGCCAAATATGTTTGACTATATCAAAGGTCTTATTGTCAACCAGAGGCACCATTTCTTTGCAATGTAATCAAAATGTTTGCTTGTGAAAGAATCTGTTGGCAAATTCAAAACACCCATTTAGAAATGCTGGCAAGCTAATAAAAGTAACATAGACGATCGTGTTGGTTCTCATTTATGTTTCTAAGCCTGTTCTTCATACATCCTGAAAAGTTCTCTTTTCATACCTCTGATGTTTTCTTTGGGGGTCCGTAGCTGCTTTGTGGTCTCCTTCCAATGTTTAAAGCAGTTTCAGTGCTTTTTAAAATGGATTTTTTTTACAAGCCTCATAGTTATTAAAGTGGGATGTTGCTTCATATGTAATGGAAAAACAAAAAGGAATAGCTTCATTAACCAGCCACAGACTGAAATACTACCTATATATTTAAGATTATATTCACATCAAGCAGAACATAATTTCAGACTGAATATCTTGCAATGGCTGAAGCAGCTATTTATTCTCAACATGGATACGCTACAAAGAAGTTTGTTGCTGTTTTTTGTTTAAAAAAAAAAGAGATATTTTGGAGATATTTTAATGTAACTGATGTTCTCGAGTGATTAAGAATCCATGAAACTAAATGTCCTCATCAATCATTCTCAGTCAATTTAGAAGTCATGCTGTGCAACTAAAATTCCAATGAAAACAACAAAGATTAAATCTGATTTTTAAAAGTGCACAACTTCTCTGCAAAAACATACTTGGCCCCATTAAAGGAGAGAAAGTCAAAGCAGAAACTCATACAAAGCTCTGTTTTATCAAATGTGCAGTTATTTCCCTTTAAAGGTATTAACAGAATTTGAAGAAGTGGGAAATATCAAGGCATACTGCAGTTATTGCACTCATGTTGTATGTGTCAATACAAATTAAGTTTTCATTTTTGAAATTTATTTCAGAGCGGTCACCACATAGACCTATCCTACAAGCGGGATTACCTGCTAACAAAACTGTGTTGGTGGGGAGTGACGTGGAGTTTGTGTGCAAAGTGTTCAGTGACGCCCAACCCCATATACAGTGGCTGAAGCACGTTGAAAAGAATGGCAGCAGATATGGTCCAGATGGATCCCCTTATGTCAATGTCTTAAAGGTTCGAGAATTGAGAAAAACCTGTACGTTTGTGTATAATGGAAATTGTGAAAGAGTGGTGTTCATTATCAATAAGGCCAAGGAACATCCATAATTAAGTTATTATTTTAACTAGAGATGTTTTCAAAAATCCAATTTATTTCACTACACCTTAATTCTGATTTATCTCAATCACAAAAACATATATATATAGAATATATATATTTATTTTAGTTTATTTTTTCCAAATTTATATTGGGCAGCTGCAACACATTTTATTTAAAATATGCTGAAGAAAACTGGTATGAACTCTTACATGACAGTCCTTTTTTTAGTTGTATTTTTGCTGTTATTTACTCCATTTATTCCTTCATACCACAAGATTGTCAAATGTTTTTGTAGAAAAAAAATAGCCTTTTTATTTCATGAAGTTGTTTCCTTTAGAGGACTGATGATGCTGGTGGTGGGATGTTAGCTCTGTTCATACCAGAACAGCGGTTATATTGTTATCTTCTGTTATTGGTTTATTCTAGCATTCGGGGATAAATAGTTCCAATGCAGAAGTGCTGAATCTATACAATGTGACTGAGGCGGACAGTGGAGAATATATATGTAAGGTCTCCAATTATATTGGAGCTGTCAATCAGTCTGCTTGGCTCACTGTCGCTCAATTCTCCCCAAAAGGTAACACTTTACAGGACACACGTTACAAAGCTCTGCCCATGGTAAATGAATTTAGGAAACGGCTGACTCATGCTGGGAGATGCTTGGAAGATTGCAGGCAACTTAGGGGATCTTTGGGCTTTGGGTTGTTCATGGTCCCTTAACCTCCTTTCCATGATGAAACTTGGTGCACGCTAGACATGGAAAAATACCCACAATATGTAGTTAAACTATCCCAAATTACGTTCCAACTGGAACTTTCTCTTGTCAAATCTGTTCTGTCTTTCTTCATCTGATTGCAGCCTTTTCTTCCTCCTGCGAATTTTTCAATACTTTTATTTACCCCATGCTTCTGAATTAGCCAGTAGTACATTTCCGTTTCCAGCTTCCCATCTTACATGTTTTATCGTCTTCTTCATTGCTTCCTTTATTCTAAGAAAAATAGGATAAAGAAAACAAATTATTATGGGCCTATTTTTCCATGAGTTAAATTGCATGCCTAGAAGGGTGAGTTAAAGATGGTGATGGTTATCTGATTATTCCATAAAACAAGCTTGAAATTGGGAGCAAGCTTTGGTTGAAGGGTTGTGGATAGGGAGTACATAACTCCATCAGATTACTGCATCTCTGCTGTTAAGCAGTGATGGTGGTTTGTTGTCCCTGTCCACAAATATCTCATGTTGTCTTGCTTGTATTTTTTTTGTTTTTGCTTCCCTTTTTCTTCTAGACTGCCGGTGTTAACACTACGGACAAAGAAATTGAGGTGCTCTATTTACGGAATGTAACTTTTGAGGATGCTGGGGAGTATACATGCTTGGCTGGTAATTCTATTGGGATTTCACATCACTCTGCATGGTTGACAGTTGAGTCAGGTACATATGGCCTTCCTTCAATGGTTCACCTTTCCCCTTTTGCAAGATTGACACTGCCTCTGTAGTGGAACTGGCAGCAAAGAGAAATCAACATCCCAGTTGTGTCTCATATTTTCTTCATTTTTCATGATTGTATATAATTATATTTAATATAATTAAATATTTAATATAATTAGGAAAAAAGCCTAAGGGTTAATCACACTGACAATTGTTCCTGTTGCCATTGAAATGCCAGTTCCCTTTCTGTAATGAAGCAGTGTTATATTGTGGGACTTCACTCAATGAATCAACTTTATTTCTTCAGTGATTGCATGCACTCAAAATGAGATTGTGATTCATTTGCAACAGAGGACATGCAAAATCTTTACCTAGCATGTTGAATCTGATGCTATTTCTCTACCTTAAGAAATGGTCATCAGTGGTGTTTTAACTGATTGATAATTGACAGGGAAAGAAAGTTGGTGTGCATAACCCAACCCAGATAAATCTTTCTCAATTATCTGTCCTCAACGCACCTGTTTGGTAATTCCCTTGTGAAACTTCAATTCTGATGAACAGTGGTGGTTATCAGATTTGTGGGTTGCAATGACAACTAATCCTTTCTCCCTGGAGAATTTGACCTGCAACCACACTGCTTGATTTGAATGAAGTGTTGAGGTTTTTCACCACGTAACATGATTGTCTCTTAAAAACTGCAACAAACCTTTCCTGTGGTCTCTAATTTCACAATCAGGCGAAAACCTTTGGTGCAGCTTTGCTTTCACAAGGAATCTGGGACATTTCTGGTTTGTTTGCTTCTTGTCTCACCTTAAAGCCTTCAGTGGGCATTTTATGCTTGGTAGCTTTTGGCAATGCTACTTGTTATGAATAGCAAAGCTTGAACAGCGTTCATTATGCTAAATATGCTGTAGATGTAAAGTAATGATAAAACTTGAGGCACGTATAACATATTGAAGTGGACTCTGCTTGTGTGAAATACTTGACATTTTTAACAGAATATTTATTTTAACAAAACAAGCTGGTTCAGTTTTAACCTTTGGCTATAAATGTCTTGTACTTTGCACCATAGCATGTAAAGTTTTAAATATAATATCCATGTTCATAACTGAATGCAACTGGAGTAGAGGACCGAAATGTTTGCAGTATTGTCAGGCTGAAGAAATCATTATTATTATTTGATTTATTAATATATTTTGTTTACATTTTCAATTTTGTTATTTAATCTCATTACCAGTTTACCCTGTGCAACAGCCAAGAGTGCTGGAAAATCTTCATCCTGAGGAACTCTCCACTTTCTCTATAAGAGACTTTTAAGAGCTACAAGAATATGATTGTGTCTTTGCAACACCTACCCATCCCCAATTCTTTGCAGCTTCTGTCACTCCAGCAGTTGATACAATGGTACACCATCACTGATTCATACCATTGGTGTATTCTTGGTTCTTCCTCAATCCTTTGTTTCTTCCCTCTTCTCATCAAGTTATATAGTTGCATGGATATCAGTAGCCTGCTCCCTAAATGGCTATGATGGTTGGCTATCCTGTCATAGGATCATCAAGCCAATCCCTATAGTGAATTCTAATAGAGTTCCTCACCAGGTATCCACAATCTCCTACCTTTTAGTAGGAGCAAGAAATTTCCCCTCATGGCCTGCAAATACATAAAGCAATTATAACACCACTGGTACCAACCAGCTATAGCCACCGACCTCAGCAAGCAGCAGGAGTTTTCCTGCTCTATGTGACTCCGTGTTGCGCTGACATTATCTATTACCCTTGACACCATCTATAGAATGTTCACTCTCTTCTTTCTTACTGAAGTTGTTATGAGGAATAGTTTTGGAAGTGTTTAACAATTGTTCACTTCTTTTTCAGTTACGTTACAATGTTTGAAACTGCATGTTAATGTCTGATGCAATTGTTTCTTCACGTGTAATCCAGTTCCTGAAGACAAACCAAAAGGGTTGACCTCTCCTGACTATCTGGAAATAGCTATCTATTGCATTGGTGTTTTTGTTATCGCTTGCATGGTGGTGACGGTTATTATTTGCCGGATGAAGAGCACAACAAAGAAGCCAGATTTCAATGCCCAGCCAACGGTACATAAACTGACCAAACGCATCCCCCTGCGCAGACAGGTAACAGAAAGTAGATAAAGAGTTCAAAAACCTTTTACACAATCTAGAGACTATTTTATCACTAGTTACATCTGTATTTCCAAATCTTATTTCAGAAGTTATTACATAATATCGTAACTTTCCTTTCTTCACGAATGCCAACTAAAACATTGTCCAAATTTTAAACAAACTGATATGGTTTTGCCCAGATTTCTAATGCGAAGCTGCCTCCCCTAATAAAATGTTTTTATTGAATAATTGGGCATCTTAGTAGTACTTGGTGAATAATATTCACGAACAGAAATGGGTACTTCTACCATATTTCATTCAATTGTGAGCAATTGCAAAGGAACTTTAAAAAAGATTTGTCTGTTGATGGTTGGTTGGACTTTATTAACTTTAATTTTAGCTGCTATATTCTTGCCTGAGAATAATGAATCAAAAGGTCAGCCGGAAAGTTGAAGAAGCTTCACTTTTATGTCACTGCAATTGAGGTTTTTGATGTATCATTCGGTATAAAATGCTTATTTGCTGTAGTGGACTCCATCATGGATCATGGACTCCAACCTGATATATGGTTTGGGCTATGGCTGTGTCAGAACGATGGCTAGAATTTAACCAGCTCTCTAAGCAGGCTGGGAGGTAGGGCTGGTAAAATTCCAGAAGAAGACACTGAGAGGGAAGTCCAATCTCTTCCCATTGTCATTGCTAAATTTGGCAAGTTAACAGCCACATCTCTGGCATTTGACCACCTCAGGATGGCTCCCCACTGTTCGGGGAGACTGTCTGGTATATTGAGGTGGTCTCCCAGTAGGGGTGGAAGAAAGGAAGTGAGGGCTGCCCTCCTTTTCTGACTGACCCATGTCTGCTGATATTTTGATGGCACTCTCCACAGCTCTGATGCTAATGTTGGAGGGATTTTCCTCCTATCTTGCAGGTTGCCTCACTGTGGAGCCTCAGTAAGTGGTTGCCTCAATTGGCGACTCGGCTGATCTGCCAGTCCTCTGTTGCACAGAGATGCCCTGGCAGCAGGCTCTTAATTGAGCACCAGTGGGAATAATGCCTTAGGTACCTGCCATCCATTCAGCTGGGCTTGGGACCCAGTTTCAATGCAATGGGTAGGCCTATCTATTGGGAAAATTCAGTGCAGTGAATAGAATGTGTGCCCTGTACCACTCCATCTTCCTGTAGCATTAAAGAGGGGTCTTGGGATTTGGGGAGTTACGACTTTGTACCATTTCCATTAACTTCATCCTAGTTGCTGCATTGATAGATCTCCTGACCTCAGCTATTCTCTCCACACACAGGTCGGGTGCTATATTTGTGTTCACAACACAAGTTATTTGAGCTTTACAATGATATATTGTTTGTGAAAGTTAACTAGTGCATTAAAAAAAAACACACATTGGAGGAACTTTATCCCTGAATGCCTCCCTGATGGATGCTGAGGATAGAAAAGCATGAGGGGGGCAGCAGAACTCAGTCATTTTTTTCTCTTTAGATTTCAGGGCCAGAAGGAGCAGGAATGTGGCTCCAGGCTTCAACTGTAGCTCCTCCTGACTTTCCACATGTCCCTTTCTGTTATGTAGGAAACCCCTGGAACTTAATGATGTCATCTACTGATGGACAGGCTCCATGCTATGTAGTTTTTCACCAGTGGGAATTAACGAGGGCTGGGTAGCAGAATGACTTTAATTTCTGCAGCAGTGGATGAGTTTCATACTTTCCTGCTTCCCACCTGCCCAAACCTATTCGGTGTTCAGAAACAAAAACTGAAATAGCTGGAGAAACTCAGCAGGTCTGGCAGCAACTGTTGAAAGAAAGCAGAGTTAACGTTTCAGGTCCAGTGACCCTTTTTCAGAACTCCACCTGGAGTTCAAATTGGGTCCACTACTTCAGAAGGTGCATGTGAAAGTGAGTGATTCTGGTGTTTGCATGCATTGCAGTTGGTTGCAGTTTGTGAGTTGTCAGTTTTCTAACCTAAAGATAGCTGTTAATTAGTCTAACTAGAAATTTGCAGAGCGTTGAAAGGCTAAATGATAAGTATCATAAAATGAATGTATTAACATTTTGTTGTTTCAAGTATTCCTAGCTTCTACATCCTGCAATTATTCTAGACATCTCCATGGCCTTCACTAATGCTTTAGAAGAACGTTATTACAAGGGTTTACTGGATGGTACCCAAAAATAGAACCAATGTTCAGCTTCCCCCCCTTTCTTGTCAGTTGGGCATCTTTCCTCTAAACTAGCACGTTTCCTCAGAACACAGCCAAAAGCAACAACTCTTTGAAGGCAAGAGAAGGGATCTAATTGAGCACAGTTGTAAACATTCATTAAGGTTAGGTTTCAAATCCAGCCCTGTCCTTTTGCACTAAAACTAACACTAATGCCCTGTGGATTGCTGTAGTCTGTCTCTGTTGTGAAGAAGAAAGCTATTATGATCTGATGGGACTGCCTTTTAAGATATTATTTTATAACTAAATATTTTAAATAAACGCCATGTTTATTAACCAGTGAGTGCTAAATGTCTTTAGTATTTTTCATATTACATTCTAGAAAAAAATCTCTACTAGAAAAAATGTCTTCTTCCTGTTAAATGTTGTAATAATAAATAATTACATATTTGCTTTGAGACTATATTTTTCATTTTTGTTACCAATGTGGTCTTGTCCCTAAATGGTTAAAGACTTGAACCCTACTTGCTGTGCATGGTGCACCCCTCGTGACAGGATGTGATAATACCAAAGGAATTCTACGTATGTACATATGACCCCATTCTGTCACCTCCAACTGCCAGATGTCACCCCAAATTATATGTCCTTAGCCTTTCATCCAGTCTTAATAGTGTAATTTAATTGCTGTTTTTACTATCAACACCAACATGAGTATATATTCGGCTTTTTTTTGAGAAAAGTGATTCCGTTTTGTTAAATTGGTGTAAGAAAATGCTTCAGTCTTGTCAGTGGTATTTTAGGGTATATGTTTTTAATAGAAGGAACGTACATTTGAGTAACGTTTTACTACTTTGTCCATTTCCCGTTGCAATCTGTAACATGCAAGGAATGTGCTGACTTTGTTTACAGACTTTGTTTCCAATCACAGCAATTAAAAAGTGGTCTTCTTAAACTTTGGAATGATTTGTTTGAAAATTAAATTATTATTTGTTCTGGGAACTATCAAATTTTCATAAATTTCCAGTATGAGACTGATAACTTTAATTTCCAGTGACTAGCTGAAAGGTTAACAGAATGAGGTTTGAGGTTGAAAGACTTTTACTGCAGCAAACAAATCAAAAGCACAATTGACTAACCTTAATTTTGTAGGTAACTTACACTACAAATTACAGAAAAATTTCCTCAATTTACTTCCAAAATGACCAAAATGCCCCCACCACAATTAAAATTTATGCTGTCCCTCAAGTGGACACTTTGTTCTACAGGAATCAGTCCCAAGTTATTGTCAGCCCTTGAAGGGTGCTTCCTTTTCCTTTCCTTGTCGGGTAAATTTTAATCCAAGAAACCAACTTTCAGCGCATTACATTGGAGATTCCTTGTCTCTAGTCAAAGTTAGTTGAATAATCATGCTTCCTGTCATTTCTGATGAACTTTGTCACTTCAGTGTGAAAACAAGCTCCCACCTGTAATCCACATGGTGAACTACAGGGTCAGCATTTTCTGTAGTTCAGACGCAAGGCTAGCGGTCTGTCGTATTTCTCTTTCTCTTCTTTTCTCTCTTTTCCGTTTGTTTTCACCCTCTACAGTGACTCACTATGAACTCTTCCCTTGCCAAAGTCTATCTCAATGGCAACACTGATCCCATGGGCTTGCATCATGCATCTACTTGTGGAAATGCCAATTAGCTATCCTGTAGACTACGAGCTCCATTCTAGTTTGACATTAAATAGACAGTTTAATGTATAACTGCTTATAAAATATGATATGACTGCCATTTCCCCTTGGAGACTAACACAGGTGTGAACATCTTGTACCATTTCAACAAGTCTCTTGACTTAAGCCCCTCTTGTTTCCACAGAAGGCAGGCCACATGACGTCACTACTCCATTTCACATTAAGTTACATAACAATCCTAAGAAGAACATAACAATCTTATACATGACAAGGCTAGCATTTATTGTCCAATCCTAAATGCCCATTGAGCAGTTAAGAGTTGACCACGTTGCTGTGGCTCATGAAAGTTACACGTAGGCTAGACCAGATAAGAATGACGAATTGCTTTCCCAGAAGGGTTTTTACGACAACAGTCAACAATAGCTACATAGTTGCCATTAGGCTGGCTTTCTACTCCAGATTTTTGTTAAACTCAAATTGCACCATCTGCCATGCTGGGATTTGAGATTATGTCCCAGAATATTGTGCAAGGGGTTGTGTATTACTAAGTCCAGTGACATTACCACTCTCTCATTGCTTCCCCTAGTACATATGACATTCAGTTTTGGAAACATTTGCATCACTTTAAAAGAATTACAGTATCTGCTTGGCTATACTGCACGAAAGGGAAATTTTGGATTGCCAGGAATTTGTGGATATTTAACTGGGTTCTCTAGATTTTGATACTTATTTTTGAGCAATGTTATGATTTCACCATAATCTGGTGTTTATTCTGATGCATTTTTATTGTTTCACTTATTTAAGTAGTTGTTTCAGAATTAACCAAGAAAGAAGATTCAGTACAATCATGAACTTCCTGTCATGAGTTACTTGACATAATTGTACAGTTGGGATTTTCAAATTTTTGAAAAATCATACTGATGGATTTATGGAGAGCTGCTGGTGAAAACATCTTGTTAGCATTTATCCTGGTAATTTTTTTCATGTCTTGTCAGTCCCCTGAAAATAATTACCAACTTAAATGCCTTGCATTCATTCGTTAAAATTGGGATACTGCACATACTGCATGATTAGTAATCGTATATGTGAATATAATGTGGTTCACAATCAGAAAGAAAAAGAAAACCATCATGGGAGGTGAAGCTGTGGAAAAAGCTATGCCTGGATGACCTCCAGGAGTTTCAAATACCCTATAACAAACATTGACAGCATGTGTACTCCATGAGCCACAGTTGATGGTTTAGGTTAAGACACATAATAAAAATTAGAACCAAATGTGCCAGAGTTGATTGTAGCACTGCCAAAGATTGGTACAATAGTCTGTAAACAAAAGAAACAAAAATTACAAGAGTATGGATTTTAAATAAACTCACCCAGAAAATGGATTCATTTCTTTGGTCATTTATAATACTGTATTTAGCATGTTGAGAAACATGGTTTAAAAATGCATTGATTAAATGGTTAAATAACTTTACGCTGAAAAGTCTTATCTCAGTGCCACTGGCAGGCCTGTAATGCATTTAAAATGATTTGGTTTCAAATAAATTTTAATATAGAAACATGGCCCAGTATGGCCATACACAACCACCACCACCCCATCCACCCACCCAGTGATATTGCTTCACCTCACTTCTGGCCTTTATTTGGGCTAACTACTGTAACGTAAGTTTCTTACTCCTCTGTGTCTTTCGCTAACTATAACCTAGTTAACTTTGTCAAGTGACTGTAGAATTTGGTTTTTAATGTTGTGGTTCAATTGGCTACACTACCTACTTGAGGTCATTTTTTTCAAAATAAGCATAACCTATGAGCTTAAAATATTCCTTTCTACTTAATGTACTAATCCTAATTTTAAGACTTAAATTTGTCCAACGAAGACTTTGAAACAGCACCCTTTCAGTCCTAATGGTTTCAGGCTATTGTTAATCACTGCAGGAAAGTTGATGTGTGTTGGGATCTTGTCTGGTTTGATGGATGCATTTTTTTTGGAATTATGCTGACTACATCAGTGCAGCTGTGCAATGACCTGGCAGGACAACTCCTGACAATTTACTCTCCTGGGATATAGAATGCTTCACGTTCAGCCAGTATTTTTCATTTAGCAAATTAACCAAGGACAAGTAAGTAGATTTGAAAGTTGGCTGAGGCTGGGATTTACATTCTTTGTTCTTTTGGAATTTGAGGTTGGGGCAGTAATTTTACTAGTAAAACAGTAGATTTTCACTTGTTTTCTTCTACCGCGTTAGCAGGTCTTTTCTTGCAGTAAGTTTAGTAAAAGGTTCAAAGTACTCACAGCTGAATGGTTAGTTGCGTCTATGAGCTCATAAATTCAAAGTTGCAGGTTTCTACATTTCCTAAACTCTATAAAAGCCTGAAATTGCATATGACTTTACTCAACTTACAAGATGTACAATAATCCTCTGTCATTGTGGTTGATTTTATAATTCATCGGGATCTATTTTAACTCCTGGGCAGAAACATGGCCTAGTGAGAGGTCAGTCTGTCCAGGAACAAAGTGGGGAGGCCCAACTGATTTTTAAAGGCTGTGCCTTGATAACACGTTGCTGGCTCCGTACTGACCAAAGCCAGCTAGGCACTGGATGGTAAGTGACTGCATAGCTGATTAAAAGTTTACAACAGGAGGCTGCTTACCAAGGACCACAAGGAAAGGTCCCTGCCACAAAGATGGGCAGTAATTAATGGGGATTCTAGAGGTGATCTCGGTCAGGTGAGGGAAAGCTGGGGCATGGGAGGTCTGCAGTTTTCTTGTGGGACCAAGAGGGCCGTCTTAGCTTCTGACTCGCAAAGAAACTGCCCTGTGACCCTAGCCTCATTTCCTGTTAGGTTTGGCCTTGCAAGGATGCAATTTAGGATTTTCTCAAACCTGTGGATAATACTGACTTCATGCAGGTGTCCTTGACACCTGGACATTTTAAATTGTAGTTAGCATGTCAGAGTTGTATGCAAGTGAAAAAGCCACCTGTTCAAATTTAACTGCGTTTAACTCCCAAGTACATTTGCCACTAGACAGTGACATGTAAAATTCCCCTTAATAAATGTATTTAATAAATACAGACACCACGCAAACAGCATATTCTACAGATGTAGTCAGTTATACTGTATTGTGACACTGGGGATCATAGCCATGCCTTTTCTTCACTGGAAAAACAGGTTTCTGCTGACTCCAGCTCCTCCATGAGTTCCAATACTCCTCTGGTGCGGATCACTACACGACTCTCATCTACAGATGCACCCGTACTAGCTGGAGTTTCAGAATATGAACTTCCAGAAGACCCAAAATGGGAGTTTTCACGGGATAAGTAAGTATCCACTGAAATCTTTTCCCAATTGTTTCCTTACGGTCAGATATACCTAATTTAAACTTAAAAGTGTCCGTTATTTGCTTTACTCAGTTGCTGTATATTTAGGAGTAAACTTGTGTTGGGTAAGTTGTTGGAGGGGATCCTGAGTGACAGGAGAGTTAAGGACTGATTAGGGATAATCAGCATGGCTCTGTCCATGGGAAATATGTCTCACAAATTAGTTTGAATTTTTGAAGAGGTGAACAAGAAGGTAGGTAACGATAGAGTGGTAGACATTGTCTACATGGTCTTCAGCAAAGCCTTCGACAAGGTTGACTGCTTAGTAAATTTAGATCACATAGAATCCCAGGAGAGCTAGCCAATTGGATATAAAATTGGCTCAAAGGTAGGAGACAGAGGGTGGTGGTAAAGGGTTGTTTTTTAGACTGGAAGCCTATGACTAGTGGTGTGCTGCAAGAATCAGGCTGGGTCCACTGTTTTTCGTCATTTGTGTGAACAATTTTGGTGGGAATATAGGAGGGATGGTTAGTAAGTTTGCAGATGACACCAAAATTGGTGGTATAGTGGACAGTGATAAGGTTATCTAAGAGTACAGTGGGATCTTAATCAACTGGGCCAATGGGCCAAGGAATGGCAGATGGAGATTAATTCAGATAAATACAAGATGCTGCATTTTGGTCAGACAAACCAAGATAGAACTTACACGGTTAATGGTAGGGCCCTCAGGAGTGTTGTCGAACAGAAACATCTATGGGTGCAGGTACATGGTTCCTTGGAAGTGTTGTCACAGTTAGACAGGGTGGTGAAGGTGTTTGGCATGCTTGCCTTCATTGGTCAGAACATGGAGTACAGGAATTGGGGCGTCTTGGGATGTCATATTACAGCTGTATAAGACATTGGTAAGGCCACCTTTAGAAGTACTATGTACAATTCTGGTCGGCCTGCTAAAAGAAAGATTATTATTAAACTGACAACGATGCAAAAAGATTTTTAAGAATGTTACGAAGACTAGTAGATTTGTTATAATGAGAAGCTGGATAAACTGGGACTTTTTTCACTGTGGGAGTCTGAGGGGTGACCTTATTGAGGGTTATAAAGTCATGAGGGACATAGCTAAGGTGAAAAGCCAAGGTCTTTTCCCCAGAGTAGGAGAGTCCAAAACTAGAGGGCATAGGTTGATGGTGAGAGGGGAAATGTTTAAAAGGGACCTGAGGGGCAATTTTTTCATACAATGGGTGGTGCAGACATAGAATGAGCTGCCAGAGGAAGTGGTAAAGGCAGGTAAAATTGCAACATTTAAAAAAACATTTGGAAAGGTGCTCGATTGGGAATGGTTTAGAGGGATGTGGGCCAAATGCAGGTAAATGGGTCTAGGTCAATTTAGGAAACCTGGTCAGCATGGAAAGTTGGGCTGAAGGGCCTGTTTCTGTTCTGTATGACTATGACTTGTATCAGGAAGACTACTAGTAACATGGAGAGTTTGCTAAGGATAGCCCATGTCGTCTTACCCTCTTCATAACTCTTTTTATGAAGAATAATGAAAAGGCTTACATATATGTAGTACCTGTCATGTCCTCATGATAACCCAAAGCTTTTCACAGCTAATTATTATGTTTGCGATACTGTGCCTACTGTTAACAAACATGGCAGCCAATCTGTATGCAGCAAGTAAGACGTGATTGTTTTTTGTTATATTTGTTGAGGGATATTTATTGATCACACCACACCCCCTGCTCCCCTTCTCTATGAATAGTGCTATTTTGAATTTTCTACATCTGCCTGGGAAGGTGGTCAGGCCTCAGTTTCACATCACTTGAAAATGATGGCATCTCTGAGAATGCAACACTCCTGTGGTATATTTTGAAAAGATAGCTGAGGTTACTATTTCAATCCTGGATTGGGGCTTGAACCTGTAATCATCTAACTCAAAATACAAATAACCTGTTTTTAATTCAAAGTATTTCGGTTTTTATGTTCATCGCAGCGAGAGTCAGTTGCAGAAAATTTCACACTCAGAAACCAGTCCAATTCCTCAAATACCAAATGTAATGGCAGTTGGACACAGCTCCTCCCTTTGTTGGAGACCTAGTCACCACTGTGTCGATTTGACATTCATCTTTCAACATCAGTGTATCCTAGAGTCTACCTGAGGGAGATTGACTAATTGGTGTAGAATGACACTTTATTTTTGCTGTGAGCTAAAGGCCTCTGGAAACCGTGCTGATCATTCAAATTAATTTTGCTTAAAATTGCCAAGTTGTAAGTAAAGTTAGAAAGCTTTAAACTCATCTGCCTGGATTAAGTTGGAATCATTCTGGCAGTATTAGGCGCAGTATATGTAGAAGGAAATTGGATAGTGTAATATGCAAATATCAAAGGTAGTAACTTCTGAAAGCGCAGAGTGACCGTACAAACCTAAACATTGAGTGATTTGCCAAGGCTGGGGGAAAATTAAATAATTCTGCAATCTTGTATTGGCTGTCACAGAAGATGCTATATTGTCACTTTTGCCAATGACCAGCTCACCTTTTCTTCCCCCAACCCCACTTCATGTCATATAACTGTTATGATCCCAGGTCAAACTGCCAATTTTATGTTATGAGCTGGTTAGGGACGAATGAACTTCAGTTTTAAAGTGTCAAAAAGTAATATCCAGTGGACTTAGGAAGAGAACAAAACCACAAAATTCCACAGTTTTGAACAAACAATAAATTTTGCTGTACAATCTGCAGTACATGTACAACCCAGTATTAACACTCAGAATTAACATGCGGCAAACAGAAGTAACATACTATGTTCAAACACTCTTACTGCACACGTCACATACCAAATACGATCAGGCAGATCCGATTGACCTGTGAGTAACACCAGACTTCAAAATGTTAGTGATACGATGAGTATTCAAATCTCACTAACTTCATCAGCAGCTACTATTCTTCAATTTTGCTGATCTGGCCTTAACTCCTTCACAAGGGCCATTCTGATCTGGACTGCCTGATTGCTCTGATTTGGTCAATCACCTTCCTGTCAATGGCTCATGCTTTCCTGAACTTCAAAAGTGCACAACAGTACTCATTCACAAGCATTACTCATTCACAACCATTACTCCAGCTCTTCACCAGCAGCTAACTTCACCGAACCCCTGAGCACCATATTGCAACAAGAAAATATTTGAGATTTTTAACCAGCCCAACTCAACTGAACTGAAATGATCTTGCTCATGGGCTTCTTTCAAGGTTTTCATGGCTTTGCCCAACTGGGAACCAGTGACCTTCCCAATTTCTCAGTTCCTGAGGATGACTTTTGAGTCCTGACTCCAACTCTTAGCCGCCTACTAAATGCTAGAGCTTATTTCCTGTGTTTGTTCTAATCCATATACAGAATCTGAGTTGTTGAGCTGCCTTCCCAGCAGTACACTTATCTGCTGCATTCCTCTAATAAAATGTGTCCTTTTAACTGTTCAGTGACCCCTGAAATGTTTGAGTGACCTATAGGCCCCTCCGTTATTCCTGGGCAGAATTGAATGTTGCAACCTTACAACTCTTGGAACAGAGTGTGCTCTGAATGTTATGTTTCACCAAGAATGCTGGCGTGCTCAGTACAGAAGAAATGGAAAAAAAACGAGCATTTCATCACATTAATCTTTAAGAAAGTGCAATTACATGCCAGCTTTCACAGTCTTTTTTTTAAAGATATGTTTGATCTTTTAAAAAAAATTTTTTAATGTGAATTATATTTGGCACAGGCTATTCATTTTAGTTTCGCTACATTGAATCAGAAACATTTATGGCTCAGGAGGGTGACATTCAGCCTATTATTGGGACTACTCACTCCCTTCTGTTTTCCGCAGACCAGCATGTTATGGTAGCAGTGGAGGATTGAGGGCATTAAGTGAGCAATAATTATCCGTTTAAAGGCCTGAGTGAGCCAATGGATGGGCAGCCTAATGGAAGTATTCTTATATGAATTAAGTTAGATGGATGGAAAGGCAGTGGGCCAGTGGGCTAACCAGCCAACATCATATACAGATTCCCCCCCCCCCTCCCCACTACATTTGGGGGCGGGGGCGCAACCTGTAAAATACATCCCTTAGACTGAGCACTCTGCAAAGTCGGTAAACCACTGGCTACTCCACTAAGTACTGTCAGAAGGATCAGAGCACTGAAATCACTGAGTGTTTTGAATATTGATAGTTTGAAAAATTCCATTCCTGACCAGGTATGTCTGGGTAGCAATTCAAGACAGTGACTGATCTAATAAATATCATTTGTATGGCTGTCAAGATGAAATGGAGGGAGGTAGAATTGTGCACGTTAGAAGACTGACTTCTTAAAATGTGTTTCTCCAACAGTATGAATATAATTTTATACTTCAACAATTACCTTGTCTTATTTTAAAGTTGTACAGTTGGTGTGAGAAAATTCTCCTTGGGGAAACAAAGTATGCAGTCTTCTTGGTCTATTTGTTCCCAGCAAGTATTTCAATTAAATTAGATGGCTCTAAAAAGCAGAGTGCTCTAATTAATGCCTGCATTATTCTGGTCACTGCTGCAGTCTGTTAACCTACTTGTTGCTTAGAAGCCTCGGGGGACGTACTAAACGTGGAAAATTTTAGTGCATCAACATTTAAGAAAACAGTGGTTAACACTAATATAGGTGGAGCAGGCTTGCAATGAAAGAGAGCTTTGAGTCAGCTATTAGATCTCGGGCACATTTCTAGCACAATGAAAGGATTGTAGAATTCTGGTAAATACACTATCTAGTGGAACTTAAACTGACCACCTGCAAATGTCAATGTTTGTATAACATCAATGTTTAAAAATGCAATACAAACTACCAGCCCTTAAGTGATGTTGGCTCAGTAAAATTTAGATGTTCAATAGGATTAAAAGATGCATGCTTTCTGGCAAATTGGTTATTTAGTAGCGAACTGATACTTTTAAAATATAATTGTAAGTTAAATGGAGCCTCCAAATGCGCTTAATGCCTAATTTAAATTGTACACCTGTAGATCACTAAAATGGTAGGTACTACTGTATTTTAAGTGGATATTATGACTTACATCATCTGTGCTTCGCTGGGAAATTCTGGCAACATTTAAGGTGCTGTGTAAATCTCCTAATTGATGGAAGGAGCACTGTTCTTTTGGCTAAGAAAGACAATTGAAGTTTTTATTTAAGTAAAAGTTTATAAGCAAAACAATGTTTTAAATCCAACTGTTCTAATCTTCTGTTGTCATGTGCAGGCTGACACTTGGAAAACCCCTTGGGGAAGGCTGCTTTGGACAAGTTGTGATGGCAGAGGCTGTAGGAGTTGACAAAGATAAACCGAAAGAACCAATCACTGTGGCTGTGAAGATGCTGAAAGGTAATGAGCAAATTTTAGATCACATTTACTTATTTCTGCAGATTGAAGGAAAGGTCAAAGGTTCAGAATGCTGCATTTATTTGTCATGTGAAAGGTGTTTTGGCTAATTAGATTAACATTTGTAAGAAATTCCAAGGAATCAAATTTAACAAACTTCAGAATTCCTATACTAACTAAATAATGATATGATTTTTTGGAACTTTCAGAAGGATTGTGGCCTGTTTGGTATTTTGAATATTATTGAATCAGTGAAAGAGGAACACAATCAATAAAATGTGTCTTTAGTCCAAAGCCAACTTCCAAATTAAAGTAGCATTTGTATTAATATCTAAATTGATTGAGTCACTCGTTCTTTTAACCAAAGTGAAATATTGAATTCAATCTTCTCAGATGATGCCACAGAAAAAGATCTCTCAGACCTTGTTTCTGAGATGGAAATGATGAAAATGATTGGAAAGCATAAGAATATAATCAACTTGCTGGGAGCCTGCACACAAGATGGTAAGGAGAGAACCGGCCAAGCTGTACACAGCCTACATGACAAGTAGAAATAACGTGGTTTCTACAGGTGGTATTATAGAAGAATAGAGGTTTTTGCCAGATTTCCTAGCATTACCAAATGGAGGTTAAATAATTTCCATGAAGGGAGGAACAAAGCAATGTTATACAAAGCACCGTACCTAACAATTGCGCTTTCTAGATTAGATACTGATGTCAACACAGACTTGAGAGCAGTACACTGACTTACCCTCTTGAAGAATTATGTCATAAACATGGAGGGAACAAAAACAGCAAGATTCACATGCTCAACAGGAAGTCCTGTAAAATTCATCCCTTGGTTTCTTTAAAATGTGAAAATGATCATGCTGTTAAGCTCTCTGTAGAGACCAATTAATTTTTAAGAAAGCATTTAAACTCATAGTTAATGACATGACAAGATTTGCTGCAAAAAAAAACTTGCAAGGATTCCTTATTAAATAATGTTTTTGTAGACAACTTTTCCTTCAAACTACAAAACCAGAACTTTTAATGCAATCAAAAAATCGCTGTCAGGTATACTGTCTCTAAAAGGTCATTTGATTCTCCCAGAATTATAACAGAATGACTCTTGGATCCTGAGGATTTACTTTCAGTTTTTTCTTTCTATTCATTTGTGGCACGTGGATGCCACTGGCTGGGTTAGCATTTTTTGCTCTTCCCTAGTTGCCCTTGAGGGGGTGGTGAGCTGCCTTCTTGAGCCACTGCTGTCCATTTGGTGTACATAATGCCACAGTACTCATGGGGAGGGAATTCTAAGGTTTTGACCCAGTAACACCGAAGCTATTTCCAGCCTGGAAACATTTAACTCCTGAACTGTCTTTCACAGTGAGTTTTTCTGGAGAATTCTTGTTCCAGCTAATGCAAGGTAAATCTTCCAGTCTCATTTAATCTCTTGTGCACTTTCTGTGTCTCACTCGCTCTCGCTGTCCCCTTTGTAATCTTCACTTTCCTGGGACTTTGGAGAATTAGTCTACCCACTGTTAACACGTCTACCACACAGGTACTTGCCATTGTCGTTAAGTGTAAGCATTGTGCGCCTTCCCGGTAAAACAATTTGGTCCTCTTTTAATTTCTAGCAATCAAACCAGGCAGACTTCAGAACAAATCACGTGATCCCATTTGTTTCATTCTAAGTTAAAGACCCAGTCCTGTAACTTCATCTTACATAATTGTAATATTATTGACGTCAATTTATATCCATTCCCATTGAAGTGGGAAAGATAGGATTCATACAGAGATAAAGAGAAAAAATTACACATTGGAAATAACTGAATTCTGGAAGAATAGAAATGCTAATTAGCTTGCTGCGGAGTTCATGTTTTCCATTTCTTTTGGGGTAATCAGTTGAAAGTGTCTTCCACTGAATTCAGGTGAATTTTACCTAAAGTACAATAGAAAGAAAGCCTAATTACTACGCAACTTTTTCAAATATGGTTAATATTTTTGTGTACTCTTCTTAAAGCTCTCAGGGCTTGCTATAGAAGCCTTATGGGCTCAGGCACAAGTTGTAGGAAGCTCTTGGGGAGAAAAGAAGTAATTTCAATGTACTGCATAAGCTAGTGCTCATCTCCTGACCATCCATAATGAATTTGGTTTGATTAGGCAAAAATCAATTTAAATTATTCATGGGGACCAGTAAAATATGGCTCCTATCCCAGTTTGCCTTTAAATCTCAGTCAATTTGTATTTTTAGTACCCTAATGCTAACAGAGTAGTGTGTTTGAGATAACAAAGTGTGGAGCTGGAGAAACACAGCAGGCCAGGCAGCATCAGAGGAGCAGGAAATTTCTGAAGAAGAGTCCGACCTGAAACATCAACTTTCCTGCCCCTCTGATGCCGCCTGGCCTGTTGTGTTTCTACAACTCCACACTTTGTTATCTCTGACTCCAGCATCTGCAGTTCTTGCTTATCTCAGAGTAGTGCGTTTGGATCTTTTTCCACTAAGAGTGTGAGGTACCCTGTATTGAGTGGGATTATGCATGTATATTCTTTGTGTGGTTATTTATCATGATATCTGTTCCGTGCAGGTCCATTGTATGTCATTGTAGAATTCACAGCCAAAGGCAACCTGCGTGAGTATCTGCGTGCAAGGCGACCCCCTGGTATGGAGTATACTTTTGATGTAAACCGTGTATCTGATGAACAGTTAACTTTCAAAGATCTCGTATCCTGCACTTATCAAGTGGCAAGGGGCATGGAATACTTGGCTTCACAAAAGGTATGTAGCCTTGAAGAGGACAAAGTGCATTGAATTGCAAATATATGTAAATATTACATAAATGATTACAAATTTACAAAGTTTGTTTTCCTGTGTAATCTAGATCTTCACCTCATTATCACAGCTATTAGGACAGCAAGCCTCTGCATCAAACTACTTTAAATATTATGAGGGAGCCAAATATTTATATCAAAACTGTTAACCCTGAAGACTGGAATGGTATTATTGTGCTGTTCAAATTGTCCACAGTTTCTTGCTAAAACTTGGAAAGTGGGGAAAAGATGGAAGACTGTTTTTGACTGTTGCTCTGATACTTTATTTTACGCAGCCACAGGATCCAATCATTGCTGATTATCTGAGAGACTAGCATTTGAATCTAGTCTGGCAAAAATGAAATGGTTGGCTTACTGGCATTAGCTGCACACTACTTTTGGCCTAATTCCCATTGACAGTTCATGCTTTGAAAACTAATCCTAATAGAATTCATAGCTTAGTAGAACCTTATGAAAAGGTACAAGGTTGCAAAACTATGGGACTGAATCATTAGTCCACGAAAAGGAGATGAGGTTCTTACTTTTTAAAGAACCACACAACCACTACTTACCACTAAAATAATAAATTCCTTTATTGTAAAATGTGTTTCCACTAATTCTTGTCCTTCACCATCCTAAATACTGCATCACATGTCACTCCGCACCTTTTCCCTTGTACTCAAGGTTGTTTGTAGCCCTCGTTTTCCCACATCCCACTTCTTTGGCCTGAGAAATCGGCACGCAGCACCAAGTTTCTAGGCCTTGCTTTCCGATGTAAAGTCAACTTTTTTTTTCATTTCAGTGCATTCACCGAGACTTGGCAGCTCGAAACGTTCTTGTTACAGAAAATAATGTAATGAAAATAGCAGATTTTGGACTGGCTCGCGATGTCCACAATATTGACTACTACAAAAAGACAACGAATGTGAGTTTCATTTTGTCTGTACAATAAATGTGGCATTTTGCTGCCTTTAGCATTTTACAGTTTTCATTTTAGTATCAAACGCATCGGGGATAGATTTATTCCCTGCAGTTTTCTGCATGCTAACTTCCTCATTTGAATCATCCCACCAGCCAGTCTGGGAGGTACCATGCAGAGGTCAGCAGTGAAATTCTCCTGATGAGTATGAATAGGAAGAATTTCACCCTATAAGTGTTGCTGTACTCGGAGGGAGTGCATTAACTTCTGTCAGAAGACGTTACCTGAGAACACATTTTTCTTTTGGTTTTGTTGAAGAGGGTTATATTGAGAGAGGTGACCACGAAAGATTACTAAATTACCAAAGTTTCAGTTTCTTTCCAGTGGATTATTAAGGATAATGTTAAATCCCTCCTGTTTTGGACTTTTTCTTCACATCTTTCAAGCATGGATGCACTCCTGCAAAATTGTAAAGAGGTTATGTAGAAGCAATTGCAATTTTTAATTCAAATGAAGCCAGAATGCCTGCCAAATTGCTGTCAAGGTCACTGAAATAGTGATTGCCATATTTATAGTGATTTTATTACCATGTAGTTCCACTTGACCAGTTCTCTGACGAAATCTATAGTCTATTGAATTAAAACCTCCTTTATTACACTGCCTTACACAACTGTTTTGGATACTTTATAGTAACATAGAAAAAACTGTACTGAGCTGTTTTACTCCTTATGTACATTTGATTTGCAATACTTCTTTGGTATTTTGCTGAACTGACTGAATGGAGAGATTGCCATCAGTAAGTCAAGGCTGACACATGACATTGTAAGTGGTTAGGCTTAATGTTTTTCTCTTCCTTCAACTAAACCTTTACCTCCATTTGCCTTCTACAGGATTATGTAATAATAGTTCACCCTCAGTGTAGATTCTCCCATGAGTAGTTTCTGCCTTGGTTATACCTGTTGATGTTTTATGTGCACCTAACAGTGTGCAGTCCAAATAAACTAAACATCATATCCTTTTAGGTTGGGATCATGACTGTATGAAATTGGAGATAAATAGCTAAGTGGGGTTAGAGTTAATAGTTTAGCTACAGTAGGCAATCTGACTGCACATTGCACATTTTTCTCATGTTTTTGCTCAAGCATACTGTATTTTCATATCAGCAAACACCAAATCTGTCACAGATTACCATAACAAGACAATGTTTTAGAATGGATGAACACAGCAGGCCAGGCAGCATCAGAGGAGCAGGAAAGCTGACGTTTTGGGTCTGGACCCTTCTTCAGAAATGGGGGAGGGGAAGGGGACTCAAATAAATAGAGAGAGGAGGGGAGGCGATGATGGAAGGTAGATAAACCCTCCCCCATTTCTGAAGAAACGTCCGAACCCAAAATGTCAGCTTTCCTGCTCCTCTGATGCTGCCTGTCCTGCTGTGTTCATCCAGCTCCTACACCTTGTCATCTCAGATTCTCCAGCATTGGCAGTTCCTACTATCTCTGAATGTTTTAGAATGTCTTTTAATAAAAATAATGAGCTGACAGTTCTTACTCCTGAGGTTCAAACAGGACTTGCTGTTGTTCAGTAATGGTTGTTGTGATAAGTGGCAGAAGAAAAGGAGCAGTCGAACCATTGAGAGTTCATGGGCTAAAAGGGTGAGGCAGGGTGGTGGGGGGAGGGGGGAGGAATTTTAACCGGGGTGCTTTAGGATTTTCTGCAGTCAGCTGACATGGGTTGTCATTGTATGCGAAGCGGCAATTGCAGCAATGTGGACACTGCAAATGAGGTCTGTCGTGCTGACTCTAAACTCCAGTGGGGCTTGGGTTGGAGGGTGCTTCAGGTATAATCTGTGACTCAAGTAGTTTTAGGATTGATGTAAATATGGTAGAAGCTATTATCTACAATGAGAGAGCACTCCATTTAATTGCATCACTCTGTGGATGGCAAATGGAGGTAACAGATTAGTTGAAGGGAGAAAAAAACATTAAGCTGAGTTACCTACAATGTCAGTGTTGGCTTTGGCCCAGTGATAGCAATCTGTCCCTTTCATCAAAAATTGTAGTTAAAGTCCACTCTCAGAGACTTGATTATAAAATCCAGTTGGTGCTTCAGTGTAGTACTTGGAGAATGCTGCTGGGCCAAATAGGCCATCTTTCAAATAAAACATCAACCCATTCAAATTGACATAAAGATCCATGATAATATTTAAAGATAAACATGAGCATTCTGTCAGCTTCCTGCACAATATTATTCATTGACTACTGCCACTAAAACAGATCACGCTGTGTATAAATTGGCTCCTGTGATCCCCAAATTGACTGGATGTGTCACTGCAACAATATCTTAGAGTAAGTGGTAAGTCTTCTCTCCTCTGTGAAATTGATTGAGAAATGGGACGTGAATATCCATTTTAAAATATTAAAATAAGTATACACTCTGGATACCTTAAAAGCTGAAATTTTTTTACAATTGCTGATACGAGCGATGAAGTAGACTTCTGCAAGCTGCTTTGCCCCTGTCATGACCCTGCCACAAACTGCAGGGACAGCATCATTGGAGTAATTGGGGCAGGTGACCCAAACCTATTGAGGCACAGCATAGGCACCAACCCTGCTGTGCTGTCGGAATCTCTGAGACGAAGGCTTTAGTGAGCAGAGAAGATCAAAGCAGGAAAATAAAACTTTCTCCACAGGGAACTGTGACTGGCATTTTGGGATTGATTAACTGTGCTAGGCCCTATATATCCTCCCATCTGAGCATCCTTGTCAACTCTGCCTAAATTCTCTTGATAAAAGGGCTGTTAGCTGTTGCTCCTGACCTGTTGAACGAATTAGCTCTAAGATAGCATAGTAGACCTTCAATCTGAGTATTCTGAATTAAGTTAGCTGATTTGCACCTCAAATCTATTTCCCTACCAGTGGTGTAAGTTCTTTAACACACATTTCTTTACAAAAATATTTCAGTCTTAGACTTGAGTACTTAATCTAGCATTCTTGGCCGTTTGGCATATATTTAAGATATCCACTGGCCTTCCTGCAGGTTAAGTGCCTCCCGATTTCATTCCTGACTGGCCTAAGTCTAATTTTGCAATAATTCCATTTTGTATTGCTTAAATGCTTTTGATTTTTGATTATAAATTTTTTGTACATCCTAGGGTCGACTGCCAGTGAAATGGATGGCTCCAGAAGCTCTTTTTGACAGAGTCTACACCCACCAAAGTGATGTGTAAGTACTGATGACTCCACCAAATAAAAATATGCTTTCTTCCTTTTAATAATCTATTTACTCCAGACATCTGTCAATTCTGCCCGGGTATATGTAATTGACACACATTCTGCTGATTTCTTTCCATGCAGTTTTGTAAATAATGAAAAATGATAATATCATAATATTAATGAATATTCGATTACCTCATCAGAGACTGATACGCACAATTAAATAATTGAAAATTATTTTAGATAAACAATTCCAGCACTATGGCATGGTCTGTCTCTTTAATGATATCTTAAATCCTTTATCCTGGGAGCAGAATCATTTATCCTGTTTTCTGGGGAACTCGCTGCCACCCTGTCTCTGCCTCAATTGTGTCTGCAACAGGAACGCCACCAATTGAAGCCCTTACGTGATCAATGCCCACTCATCCTGCCACCACTGCTGTTTACTGAGCAGTGGGAGAGGGCATTGCCATGCAACAAGCCTGACGTGCGTGTCTGCTTGCAGTCTTTACTGGAGAAAGGCAAACTCGTTCAGATCCAGCATCAAAATGTTGGGGAGAGGGACTGAGCATCCACCCCTGACCCCCAACTCCCATCCTTGTAACCAAGCTCGAAGCCCCTGTGGGTGACTTGAGTGGTATGTGAGAGAGGAATGTCTGTGTGTGCGCCTGCCACTGCCTCTTTCGTCATGTGCCGTTCAATAGTGTTACATACCTGTGATTGCTGGCTGCTTCATCCAGGTAGGAATTGCCCTGCGGAGTGCTTGATGACTGGGGGAAAGCCTGTCACTGGCCTGTCAAGTGCTTGATTAAAGCAAGATGGGAGAAGCCTTCTTGAAAAGAGGCAACATGGGTGCCTCCCTGGCTCTGTAGCCAGAAACTGAAGCCCCATTGCTGCCTCCATGCAATTTGGCCAATGGTTTTCCCATTGTGAAAAGGGAGATAACATTTGTTCAGACATCTACCTAAACAAGAGTTACAGTGCTGTATCGAGGCCTCAGCAGAGCACCTTGAGGAATATGTAGATCAGAAGCATGAAAAGAGACATATCCAAAATATTGTATATTGAAAGATGGTCACTTTGGATCTTCCTTTTCTATATTCTTTTGCTGGATGAGGGTGTCACTGATTAGATTATCATTTATTGCCCATCCCAAGTTGCCCAGGGAGCAATTAAGAGTCAGCTACATTGCTGTGGGTCTGGAGTCACATGTAGGTCAGACCAGGTAAGGATAGCAGCTTTCTTCCCTAAAGGACATTAGTGAACCAGATGGGTTCTCCTTGACAATTGGCAATGGGTTCATGCTTATCATTAGACTCTTAATTCCAGATTTTTATTACAGTAAAATTCCACCATCTGCCATGACGGCATTTGAACCTGGGTACCCAGGACATTACCTGGGTCTCTGGATTAACAGTCAACAGAGATTGACAACACTGTTACTAATCTTCCTAACTTTGAGGCACATTGATAAATTGTAAGCTAGCTCGGTTACTGTAGAAGGCTTTACTGAAATTCGCAGACATAGGGCTGACAAAGGATTGTTCTATTTATTGCCTCACCAGCATGTACTCATCCTGTCAGCAACCTACACATGCTAACCTTTGGATTTCACATTGAAGAGCTCAACAGCTTCTCATCTGATCTGGAAGGTCAGCAAGTCCTGTAGTTTTTAAAACCCTGAGACCTGCATAACTCACTGAAGAGGTGGGATATCAAGTTGATCTTTTTTTAAAACAAGCACCAGATTTTTTTTAAAACAAAAGGAATCATGCCTGGCTGTGGCTTAAAACTCCAGTGAGACTCATTTGCTGTTTAATAAAAATGCAAGTGCCGAGTTCTGTTTGTGTTAACGAAGGAAGGCAATGTAACTAGAGACCAAATTTTCTAAAGTAAAATTGTAATTTGGCTTTCTTAGTGAAAATATGAGCAAATAGAGTCATCAGTAATGCGGCCAAGCTGTCAAATCATGAAACACCCAATCAGTAACTAGTCTACTTTGGTGGTCACAGTGCATAAAGCATTGTGGTGTGATACTGCATTAAGGAGAGCAGGAATTTCCAGGTTTCAGTCACTGCTCTATGGTGCTTTTGCTATTCCTGGGTATCCGAATGGACATTGGAAATGGTCTGAATGTCTCTAAGTTTCAACCAATACATTATTGATCTCTTGGGATTGGAATTAACTTGCCCTCTCTGCTGGTGTGTTTGAAGATGTCGGGGGATGGTGCGGGGTGCAGGTTAAACCTAGCAGGCAACCGGCCTAGCCCCCACCTTCCTTCCCCTGCACCTTCAGAAATTTATCAGCAGCTGGAATAGATCAAGCGACCTGCTCTCCAGTAGGTCAGTTGAGGCCAAGACAAACAGCTCATCCTGCTGCCTCCAGGAATTAACCGGCAGGAGAAAGTGCCATGTCCATCAGCCAGCTTAGCTTCAGTGAAACTACCAAACAATTTCCAAATCCTGATCCAGTGTGGGACACCTCCACCTCCTCCCAAATGCACTACTTCTCCCAGTGAAATTGCTGTTGGCCTTTGATGGCTTGCAGCACTCTGAGGCAAGACCTCCTGCAGAGGTCCCACCTCTTGTCTATCATTGCCAGTCAGTCATTAGATGGTTATCCTCATCATAAAATGAATGTTGAATGACTGCAAATTAGATTCTGTTGATACTTCACTAAAATATAACTCAGGAAAAAAAGCTTACTAGATGAGGTGTTGAGATATTTTGAGAGACTGTCCGTAGAATGGTATTGTTCCATAAGTCACTGCCTTCAGTACAGTCAAAGTGAGGGACGAACATTGTGGAGAAGGTGAAAACAAAGAAAGGCAAGGTGGAAGCAAATGAACATGCTGGAAACTCTTGCTAATACTTGTTAATATTGCAGATGGTCATTCGGTGTGCTGATGTGGGAAATATTTACCTTGGGAGGATCACCATATCCAGGCATTCCAGTTGAAGAACTTTTCAAACTTCTCAAGGAAGGTCACAGGATGGACAAACCAGCCAACTGTACTAATGACCTGTGAGTTTGTAATACTGTTTGTAGGACACAACTATCAAATATAACAGACGTCAATGGCCCAAAGGTTGCATGCCCAAGTATCTTTATACTTCTCACCCACGTATGCACCATCAGCACATAGTGGGCACTGGGGACCAGAGATAAACTGAAAGAGATTTTTTCTGTATCGGGCTGTTACACTTGATTTTGGAACAGTTAAGAGTAATGCTTAGTGCCAAAATTAGAAAAGCTAGCAACTGTTTTGTGAATTCAAAACTTCCAACTACAATGTAAATTTGAAAGCTTAAAAAAGTTACTGGCATGTTCAGAAGTTTAAAATTCTGTTACACAAATGATAGTTCCAAGAGTGACAATTTCAGAATATTGTTTGAAATGTACTATCCTTTAGCAAAAGGCAAAGACCTGTAGCTGACACTTTAAGGCGGTATCTTGATCTGCAACTCTTTGGGTGTTTAGGTAGTATTTAGGAAAATGCAGACCACACCTGATGGTGACCCATTTAACTAAGATTACTCATGCTGCAAGTGCCTAAACAACACCCATGAATCAAACCTTCAACCTCTGGAAACATTCAGCAGGGAGTTACAGCTCTTTTCTCGTATTGTTCACGGTAATTAGCCTGCAAAAAAGTCTGAGCACCTCACCCAGATCTTGGTTCACGTGCTAAATAACAAAGTTATTATATATCGTAAACAATGACTTGGCATCACCAATTATTAGCAATCCTTAATTGTATTCTGATACTCAATTTAAAACTGACAATTTCACAAGATGCAAAATAAATGCGCTTGATGGGATTTCTTACTTTTAAATTTCAGAGGAGTCCAAATGTATTTCTCTGATCTTCAGGCTACTTGCCAATAGTACACTCATCTGAAAATCTCCCTGGACGCTAAAATCTAGGTTAAAAGTCTTGGAACTACAGACATTTTTGATCACTGAAAGTTGATGGCAGATTAGAAATGTAAAAAAAAAACCTAACCATTATTCTTTACACAATGACTTGGCTTGTGATTGCATTGCAAAAATCTGTGGCTGCATTACAGAAAGTTGCTAAGCAACAGAGGAAAAAAGAATTGCTATTTGTATTATAATTGTTTTACCAATTTAACTGCAAAGTAGTATGATGTGAGAAAAATGCACTTCTTATCTTTGCTGTAGATACATGATGATGCGTGATTGTTGGCATGCTATCCCTTCACAAAGACCAACCTTTAAACAGCTAGTTGAAGATTTGGACCGAATTCTCACATTAACGTCTAGTGCGGTAAGCTTAACCATAATACTTGATTGTAATATTCAGCTAACATAATTTGTCATGAATTATTGCCCTTTACGCATGTTTTGCCTATAAATATTATAACATCAGCAAAAGCAGTTCTTTTTTTACCTAATGAATAATGCATTATAAACCATGCAGCCTTGACTGTGAGACAACAATCTTGATCAAACGAAGACTCACTGTTTGAAGAAAAACATTTTATTGATGCCAATTAATTGGCACCAACAATCAGTAGTCTTTCTCAAGTGACATCAAAGGATGATAAAAAGAGCTGATTTCCAGCTGATGATCACAATGATATTGGCCTGTTCATGACTGATGAAATGCTTTGTAGTGACCTTTGGCATAGACTGCGCTGAAAATCTGTCCACTTGATTTGGAGAATATCTCTTACTATTGTTTGTTGGTGAAGAAAGCAAAAGTATAGAATTTGTGTTCTTGTTATCAGACTTTTTAAAAATCTCAAGTCCAAAGCTAATCATAAATTTAAATAGTAGCTTTTATGCTACAACATTGACCTCTTAGCAATCATAGTTTTAATATTATTCTTGAGTATGTAGCTTATTATTGTACCCATGAGCTAGATACTGTTTGCATGTTAATAGTAGTTCAGACATGTAGTCCGCACTTCTGCCACGTATTATGTTAATGGGGTTTATGTTTACAGCATGACCTATCGAAACTTGTGGCAAATATTTCAGGTAGGAGATTTTGGATTGAAATGAGCATTTGCTGGATGTTTAAATTTGCAGTCCTGTTCTTTGATGTTGTTACATTTTGGAATATTGTGTAGTTTGAGCAGATAACAACACATATAAGAAATCTCTGATTTTAACCTAATGCGCTTTGAGTACTTTGAGCAAATCAATTTCTGGTCAATAACATTTCAAAATCAAAACGGAGCAAGCACGTAGGACTGTAATGGGATTTTTTTCCTACATTATCTTAACGTATTTATCGCTTCACTAGGTGGAGTTACAGGTTGAATATAACATATATTAACTTTTCAGTAGCTATGCTAATGCCATAAGGCATCTAGATACATTTGTTTTGGCTTTAACCTAATTAACCTACTAAAATTTGATTCTTTGATAGTGCATTGTCAAGAATATAAATTACATCACGTAATTTTAACAAATCTCCACCATTCTATTGGCAGGACTATTTGGACCTTTCTGCACCTCTAGAACAGTATTCACCCAGTTATCCTGATACAAGAAGTTCTTGCTCATCGGGAGATGACTCTGTGTTCTCTGATCCTATGCCCAGTGAGCCATGTCTGTCAAAATATCAACCACACATGAATGGCACTGTTAAAACCTGAATGAAAAAGCCATCATTTACAAAATTGACTTTAAGTGTGGCCATCTCTGTTTCAAATGTATCTTCGTGAAACCTGGGGGCTCCAGAATGGAATGTTTGTTCGGTATGGTTATTACGGAAACAATGCAAAACAAGGACTGGAACAGATTGTTCATGGAGAAAATGTGCAACTGAATATATTTTGTTGCTAAGGAAGACAGAATAAGTTTTAAGACCAAAATTTTGCTTTGGCGTAGAGGCCAGTTTTCATTCCATTACTGTTTGGACTTTAGGCAAGACTTGAAGTAAGAAGTTTTGCCTAGATTGTTAATTTTGTAATATTGGAAAATTTATCCAGCATAAAACTTCAGAGTCAAAATATGTGCTGGCTATAATGTAAATATACCCAAATATGTATAAATATATATATTATATATATTTACAGTGAATTATTTTTTGTATGGATATAAAGGTGAGTCTATTGCAATCAGAAATGAAAGCAACTTTTGTTAGTTAATCGCTTTTGAAAACTGCTTCTGCAGCGATTCCTAGCACTTCAGTTATGAAACATTGTCAAGACACTTAAAATATTCTTTGTTTTCAGGGAATAATAATTTATTTAACTGATTTGGTATTTAACAGCAACAATTAAAACAATTAATCTTTGATGTTTCTTGTATTTTGTGTAGCTTTTGCTAGCCAGCGCATAGACTGACCTGTAAAGCACAATGGAATGGATGTTTTCATTGCTTTGTTTAAGTAGTTGACTGCCCAGAAAAATGTGGTAGGAAGCTGCAGATAGAGTTTCAGTTGAGGTTTTGCACAGGTATAACATGTCTTATTAATATTTTCAAATTGTAACGTGCTGGGTTTGAGCACAAGCTAATGTACAAATTTAGCAGTTCATAAGAAAATTACTTATGACATAGTTTTGGAAACGATAGCTTGCTTTTCCTACACCATGCTAATGGTGAACAGGGCTTGAGGTCAAGGGGGAGCTTGGGTGACAAGAGTAACTTCCTCATTCTTGCCTCAACTACAATATTGTGCTTTCCATCGGTCCCTTCCTCGCTGAAATGTGTGAATAAATACCGATGATTGTGGTGTATTGAGAAGGATGAAGAACTGTGCCCCTCTCCTCCTTACTGCCAATGTCACCACCGTCCCCAGGTACAGCTTTGTAATGGTGGCAGTTTCAGTAAGTTGCCAAAGTTCTTTACTGGAGGAACGCCAAGTGAATGTTGCCCTTCACTTCCTATGTGCTCAAGGCTTCTCAGAAGTCTTTTTTTCCAGTTCATGATTCTTTTGTTTCTTTAATTGACTGGTTGCCTTATCGCATGCTGTGATGGGTACCCTGCTGCAGCAACATCATGATTCTCTTTCTTATCGACAGCATGGCTGCCAGTGGTATTGGAGCAGAAAACAGCCTTAATTGACCTGAATGTATTTGATTTGACCCTAACAACACTGGGTTAAGGAAATTCACAGGTGCATTGCTGCAGATTTAGATCCTGTTTGGTCCTATTTGGCATATTAGGTCATGTTAGCAACAACGAATCTGAACGTTTTATTTGAATAGTTGTACAATGGGCCACTTTTAGAAATGGAAAGTTACAATTAGAATTTTTTTACATTATGACAAGCTGAATGTGTACTTTATCAGACATACAAAATTACCTTGTCTAATTATTTTGATATGGATGATCTAACTTCTTATACATTTCAAACATGTAACATTAACTGAATATTAATGTGTTTTTGGTTTTAACCATTGAGATGCAAGCGTGTGCGACTGAAGATTATCTGGAAAAAAGAACTGTTCTATTGACCGAAATATTAAGGTCCTAAACTGGTCCCTTTTGAAACTCCAATAATATTTAAATGAATAGCTGTCAGAAATGGATACACATTGCTAATATTTCAAGCCTGTTGTGAAGTAAAAACAAAACCCAGCGGAATTGATAAACTAAGGAATTTTGTGTAATAAGACACTGTCATTTTCCATAGCTGGTATTGCTTGACATTATATTCAAATAAGTTTAATCTGATTTATAGGATGGATACATGTTATGTCATGTTACATAGAACATAGAACAGTACAGCACAGTACAGGCCCTTCGGCCCACGATGTTGTGCCGAACTTTTACCCGAAACCTAAGGTCTATCTAACCTCCACCGCTACCTTATACTATCATCCATATGCCTATCTAATTGCTGCTTAAATGCCCCTAATGAGGCCGACTCCACTACCCTCTCCGGCAATGCATTCCACACCCCTACCACTCTGAGTAAAGAACCTACCTCTGACATCTCCCCGATATCTACCTCCTTTCACTTTAAAATTATGCCCCCTCGTAAAAGCTACCTCCACCCTAGGAAAAAGTCTCTGGCTGTCTACTCTATCTATACCTCTGATCATTTTGTACACCTCTATCAAGTCACTTCTCATCCTTCGTCGTTCTAAAGAGAAAAGTCCTAGCTCTCTCAACCTTTCCTCATAAGACCTTCCCTCCATTCCAGGCAACATCCTGGTAAATCTCTTCTGCACCTTTTCCAACGCTTCCACATCTTTCCTGTAATGAGGTGACCAGAACTGGACACAATACTCCAGATGTGGCCGAACCAGGCTTTTGTATAGCTGGAGCATAACTTCACAGCTCTTGAACTCAATCCCTCTATTAATGAAAGCTAACACACCATATGCCTTCTTAACAAGTCTATCCACCTGGGTGGCAGCTTTAAGGGAACTGTGAACATGAACCCCAAGATCCCTCTGCTCCTCCACGCCGCCAAGAATCTTTCCGTTAACCCTGTATTCTGCTTTCAAGTTTGTCCTTCCAAAATGAATCACCTCACACTTTTCAGGGTTAAACTCCATCTGCCACTTCTCAGCCCAGCTCTGCATCCTATCAATGTCCCTTTGTAACCTAGAACAGCCCTCCGCACTGTCCACAATGTGACCCACCTTCGTATCGTCCGCGAACTTGCTAATCCACCCTTCCACTCCTTCATCCAAATCATTTATAAAAATCACAAATAGAAGAGGACCCAGAACAGATCCTTGTGGTACACCACTCATAACTGAGCACCATGTTGAATATTTTCCATCCACTATCACCCTTTGTCTTATAAGGGTCAGCCAATTCTGAATCCAATCTGCGACATTTCCCACTATCCCATGCCTCCTTACCTTCTGCATGAGCCTACCATGGGGAACCTTATCAAACACCTCACTTAAATCCATGTATTCCACATCCACTGCCCCACCTTCATCCACGTGTTTGGTCACCTCTTCAAAGAATTCAATAAGGTTTGTGAGGCATGATCTACCCCTCACAAATCCATGCTGACTATCACGAATCAAACTGTGCCTTTCCAAGTGATCATAAATCCTGTCTGTCAGAGCCCTTTCCAATAATTTGCCCACCACTGACGTAAGACTAACTGGTCTGTAATTTCCGGGGTTATCCCTGTTTCCTTTTTTGAACAAGGGAATGACGTTTGCTTTTTTTCAATCTTTTGGCACTATACCCATGGACAGTGAGGACGAAAAGATCATCGCCAAAGGCCCTGTGATCTCGTCCCTCGCTTCCCATAGAATCCTTGGATAAATCTCATCAGGCCCGGGGGACTTATTTATCTTCAACTTCCTCAGAATTCCTAACACATCTTCTTTACTAACATCAACCTCCTCTAGCCTACCTGCCTGTTTCACAACGTCCTCCTCTACAACTAGGTCCCTCTCAGTTGTGAATACTGAAGAAAAGTATTCATTAAGGACCTCTCCTATCTCTTTAGGCTCTGTGCACAAATTCCCTTTACAATCCTTGATTTTATTAAATAAGATGCAGTATCATTGATGTGAATGTTCCGGGCCATTCAAGTGCCCTGAACAATTACTTCCATTGTTTGCTGGTATTGTAATATTTGAAGAAAGTTGTTTTATTACATTAGATATGTATGCTCACTTTATTACCTCCAGTAGCGAGCTTTCCAGTGGTGCCAAAATGGCCAGTGAAGTAAGAATACCTTTACAGGTCATCAGATTTTAGAGAACACAACACGTGTGACCTCGGTTGACAGAACGCACCTTCTGTGTACTCAGGACCAAGCATAAATGTGCCCTTTTCAAATTTCTCTAACATCTGAAACAAAATGTTTTTGATCTTGCATTCATTTACTAAAATAATATACACTTGAGTAAGGATATTCTGCTAATTATTGGTGGATAAGTGGGCCAGATTTCCAGGATAATAATGTGATTTATCGTGCAAAACAGACCTTGTTCATTAGATGTTTGTTGCCCTGAAAAATATGCTTCTTGCTTTCAGACATTAACCTAGGTTTGTCAACATTGGAAAAATTGTTTGCATTTTTCTAAGTTCTAAATAACATGCATTCAGCTTGAATAATCTCCACTTGTGATTGCTGTAAGTATGACCTATTTCTAGATCAAGATTTTAAAGTGCACTTTAAAAAAAAACAAACAGCTATCCAAATTCGATCACCTTTGCCAGAAGAGGTACTATGTTACTGTAAATTATAGGTGTTGTCATTTAGATTAAATGTGAGCCAGTTGATAATTTTTCATACATGACACAGCATGTTATTTGTTCAGTTCAGCTACGAAAACTTGCCAGTTCAGTGAAAGCAAAACATATAATGATAGATATAATCCAGCATTTTCTTCCAAATGATTGTGTCAAAGTGGAATAAGGAGAAGAAACAACAATGTGAGATCTGTTTGCCTGAATCAAGATCCATGAACTAATTAGATGATGTAATATGTTGTGAGGGGCAGGAAACCAGCAAGACCAAACTGTAGAATAGCTACTTGGCTTCCATGAGAAAGAGCTTTGTTCACTCTTTTCTACATTCCAGTACTTTGTATATTTTTATAAAGCATTTACGATCCTTTGTGTCATAATGTTCAGATTTGTGCATGAAATTCATAATACAATGTATATCTAATTTATTGAATTTTTTTACAAAAAATTTCTATTTTGTTGTTACAATTTTTCAAATAATTAAAAGCCTAGTTAAGGCTGTAAATGATTTGTTTATATGAAAGATTTGCTTCTATATTATACTGTTTTTGTTTCCTTGAATGCTGTTGGGCACATTTCTATAAAGCAAGAAGAAAATGTAACCAAAAACTTTTACCTAGGTTAATTTGCTTTTAAAAGCCAAGAGCCACGCCCACTTAATTTAAATGTTTATAGTTTTTCTTCCCAGAAGTGTTCTTGTGAAATTGTTGACCAGCACGGAGGTATTTAAATGTTTTGTATTTTGTTGATGCTGATAATTTGAGAGATCTTAAAGGAGACAATAAAATATTCTAAGCCCACACTGAAAATAGCAGCCTTTGTATTAAGTGTTTGGCCACTAATAAAAAGTAATAAATTGAAACTTAGCTATCTGTCATCTAGCTGTTATGTTTTGAAATAGGTAGTTGCTTAGGAATATAAATATCGAGTTTGTTTGAATATGGGTGTTAACCTCATCGTTTGTACTCCAAGATAAGAAAGTATGGTGTTGAACACAAGAACTTTGTTCATTCAAGTCAAGAAAACATCAAGTATTTTCTAGGATATATTTACATAATGTTACAGGTGGTAGATTGACTTGTAGTTCCAAGGTACACAAGTCAAAAGGCTATTTGGTTGATTATATACTAAAGGTCATTGTAGTAATTTGAAAGCAAACATTAGCACAGCTAAAAGAAGATTGTAATTGCAATTTTGTTACATCTTTACACCATCACAGTTCACCTTATGTTGGAGTATTTCATATGGTCATGTTATAATTTAGGACATCAAGTTCTGTTTGTTAACCAGGTCAGTTTCATAATGTAAAATTATTACGGCTTCCTACACAACCTGAAATACAGGGTGTGCTGCCAGTACATTGTTGACAAGAATTGTTCTTTATTACCAATGACCAATAAAAATACTAATGTCAGGATATCAGCAGGCTATAGTTTAGAATGGAGCTAAACTTAATTTGGGCCCATTGTCCAACAAATGCTTTCTAGTTTTGCCTGTTATTTTGATGGCTAGTCTTCTGTCAACGTAAACAAATGGTCAATAAAGTAGAAAATGTTCTGTACCACCAGTCAGCAAATGTTCATTAGTCATTATTATCAATACCAGCAAAATCTGTTCATTACCTCCACCCACCACTAATCCTGCTGCTAAAGTTTTACATAACTCCACAACTGTTGACAGTAAGAGAAGGTAATTTTTTTTTCATACATCTAATGGAAAAAAGCCATTCTAAGGCAGTGACATTTTCCTCCAGCGTTTTAAATCTTGTAACAAATGTTTTGTAATTTCAAAGCTTTTACTTGTCTATGGTGTTGAGATGTGATTGCTTCATCATTGGTCTGTTATCTGGAAATTTGGATTTCAGCTTAAAGTATAATGATTCAAACACTTCACAAGAAAGGCAAGCCACTAGCAAAAGGCAGATTGATACCTCACCCTTTTTGCATTGGTTTTACCGACATGTCTTAGTGATACAAATGCACTACAAAGGAAAGGGAAAACAATCCTAGTATTTCATATGTTATATGAGTAAATGGGTGTGCTACTTAATAAACACGTTGAGCTATTGAAGTAAAGATCGGAGAAGATGAAAATGTGAGAACAATTTGTGGTTCTATAGACTCTTTGCCAATACAACTGGATGTGTGACACTGAGACAGGAAGTAAATGGATAGTGCCAAAGAGGAGGCAGCATCAGAAGAACAGGAACAGGGCCTGCAGTTCTTGCTATCTCCGAGTGATTTCCTGTTCCTGTGATGCTGCCTGGCCTGCTGTGTGCCTGCAGCTCCTCACGGTATTGTCTCTGACTCCAGCATCGGCAGTTCTTGCTATCTCTGAGTGCCAAAAAGGAGATTTGCCTAAAGGCTTTGTTCATGGTACATCTTAAGGTTGAGGTTGAAGACGGCAATATCTTTGGTAGATCATTTCTTTTAGGATTTAGTAGGTTACTTATACTGTACAAATTAAGTATTTTCTAGTGTAGACAACATCCATACCTTGAATTATATAGTATCTTCAATTTAAAGCAAACCAAGGCACATTACAGGAGAATTATCAAATAAAATTTGACATTGAGCTACATAACGTATTGAGGGACAGTATGGAAAGATGACTAAAGAGGTAGGTTTTAAACAGTGCTTTAAGGGAACGAAGAAAACTTGAGAGGTTTAGGGAAAGAATTCAAGGTCAGGGCCTAAGCAGCTGAAAGCATTGTTGCCAACCAACATGGGAGACATTTCAGGAAGCTGGAACTGTGGAAGTGCAGCTATCTTGAAAGAGTGTGGAGCTGGAGGAGGTGACAGGGATAAGGAGTGGCAAAGCAATTCAGGAATCTGAAAACCAGGCTGAACGTTTTAAACTGGAGGAATAACCTAACTGGGAAACAAATTGAGTCAGGCAATACTGGGTGCTACATGAAAAGGATGGTGCAGCAGAGTTTTGGATGAGCTTAAGTTTATGGACTGACTGATAAGAGGCCAAATGAAATGCAATAGTCAAGGCAAGATGTAACAACAGCTTGGACGTATAGTTCATCAACAAAGCAGCTGATTGTAAAGTCAGATGATGCGAAACCAGGTAGTCTTAGTGATGGTAAGGATAGGTGGTCTCTAACTCATAACAAGATCACTAATGACATCAAGTTCGCAAACAAACTAGTTCAGCTTCAGCCAGTTGCTAGGGAGAGGGATGACGTCAGTAGCTATGGAACGGAGCTCACGTTGAGGACCTGAATACAATGACTTCAGTTTTCTCAAAGATTTAGTTGGAGGAAATTTCTGCTCATTCGACAGTGGATGTTAAGCAAGCAGACTGGTAATTTAGTGATAATACAGGAGTTATGAAAGGTGGAGTAGGGTAGAACTGGGGATGTTACCAAACATGTGAAAACTTTGGATGATGTTGTTGAGGGGTAGCAAGTAATTGAAATAGAAGGGATTCAAAGATAGGTCCTTTGAGGCACCAGAGTTAACAGTGCAGGAGCAGGAAGAGAAGTGATAATCTGGCTATGAATGAATTGATAAGAATGGAACTAAATGAGATGAGTCCGTTACAGCTGGTAACAGTGAAGAGGAATTGAGGGATTGGTACGGTCACCCATTTCAAGATCAAGAAGGGTCAGGAGAGAGATTTTACCATGGCTTAGTTATATTGGGGATATCATTGGTGACTTTGATGGCCATTTTGGTACTATAGCAGAGGTGGAAGCCTAATCGGAGACATTCAAACATGGAATTGTGGAAATGATAGGCATTGATTTAGGAGATGGAACATGTTTCAGGGGCATGGGAGAGAAAAGAGAGATTGGATATAGGACAATGTTTTAGAGTCAAATATTGCATGAGAAGAGTTATGTGAGAAACGAGATAAGTTCATGTTCAGTCCAAAGGCACTGGGGGCTAAATTAGAAGTTTGGCCTGAGGGAAAGTGATTGAAGCAGCAGAGGAAACCGATTGGATCGTCTTGATCTTAGTAGCAAAGAAATTTCAGCCTCTTGGACTTTTAGATGTAGGTGAGGGCAGAGTTAATGCAGTCAGGAAGCCATCAGTTAAGAAGACAGTTTGCAGTGGAGTAATGAAGTCAAAAAGTAAAGTTAGGATAAAACAAAATGCGTGAAAAGAAAGGCTATCATTTTGAATGGAATTCTTTACTAAAATGAATCACTTTTATTTCACATCTTCCTGAGCTTGATAGCTTTTAGGCAAGACTTGCAATGCACAAATATATGCAAAGGTGACTAGGCAGATTGTAACTGCTTTACATGGTGTTCCGTCCCAATTTCATACAAAACCCGGGATTTGTCCAGTTAAAGGTTCTTTGCTTCTTGCTTCCAAGATTTGGGTTGTAATGTCTACAGAAACACTGAGACATTGAAATATCTTTCATTCTGCTAACATCCTTCCCATCATTTTATAGTAGCCCAGATTATAGGGTCACTGAAATCCCCTCTACCCTCTTGGATGCATATAAATAAACGAATGGTTAACAATTCCCCTTCAACCAACATTGTTAAGACAGTTTAAATGGTTATTTATTCTATCTCTATTCCTGGGACATTGATCAAGCAAAATTGATTGCTGCATTTTCTGTCATATACAGTCAATTGTTACTTTTGGCTGTTAAATTGCTTTTGGTTGTCCTGAGGTTTTGAAGGTTGCAATTTTAATTAAAAGATGGAGACGCAGATAAAGGATCCACCACAGCATGCATGATATGGAAAGTTAGGTTCTGTGCCTCTTCTCAAAGCCAGCAAGGTATCCCAAAGCCTTTTGTATAGTACTGCTTTATAGTACCGAGTGACGTCAGTGAGGAGGCTTTGTGGCACAATTAGTCCCTGCCTCTGAGTCTGAAGCTCTGGATTCTAGTCTGAAACCAGGGCTTATCATAATATAGCCAATTGGGTTGATTGTCAAGCTGCAAATCCTTCCAACCTACTTATGACAGAAAGTAAGAGCAGAAGACACTCCTGTTCACCCATGCTTGACAATGAGTGGTGTTCCTGAGGTTGTAGTCCCCAGTTTTAGACCATCAACCTGTGCTGTCAGCTTGTGCTTTATCTGCCTCCTTTGTCTCTGGACATAGGCTGTCCATTACCCTGTGACACTTACCAGACTTGGCCAGCCCTAAATAATCAGCTTGGCAGATATTTTGCACTTACCTGGATCAAGAAATTATCTGGGCAAGTAATATACTAAGTCCATGTGTCCTAGATACTCAGAAATGGGTAAATTTTGCAACGTGGAAAGAATATGATTCCATGCCATCATGTTGTTGCCACATCCACTTGTCTTACTCTGAAACCATTTCATAATCTTTTTTGGATTTCCTAAAGTGGCGTTTGCAGTGTGGTATGTCTGATCCCTGTGCATATTTCTTGCAAATATAACATTATGCTAAGGCCTCAAAAAGAAAAGGGAGTATTTATGTAGCCCAGGGTATGCAGGAAAAGCTGCTGTGTGTTGCAGCTACAATACAATGCCTTGCTGGTCCTGTGTAGGTGTAGCAACGTATTTCAAGTGAGTTAGCTCAAACAGATGCAATGAATTTGTGCTTGTAGCATAATGACATCCTAAAGCACTTCAAGATCATTGAAGTATTTTTTGACTACATTATAACTGTCAATGTGCACACACCAATATCCAATTAGCAGCAATAAGATAAATGATGGGATAAGCTGGTTTACTGACATTCTATGTTACATGAATGTTGGCAAGAACACCAGGAGAAGCCCCATTTTCCAATGCTCTTTGATCACACAGAATTACGTAGAATATAAAGCACAGAAACTGGCCATTTGGCACAACCAGTCCAT